TTTATTTTAGTCTAGTCTATGCATATGTTTATAATTCCCACGACTGTATCTATTTTATTATTTTTTGGTTTTTAGTACATTTATCTTTAACATTGCAATGTATGTTTAACATAAAACCGTTTAACTTAAAAAGTTTTTTTACCTATTTTTATTTTTAATTGTTACAATTACAAATAACAATTAATTATAAATTATATTACCATAATTTATTACTACAACATAATTATAACACTTTCTGTCACAGTTTGTATCCTAAACCAATATATGTTAGTTAAAACAAAGTAAAATACTGCCTCGTTGGCCCAGTGGTCACAAATGCGACTGACGGGCATGGGGTCTCGGGTTCGATTCCCGGGTCGGGCAAAGTATTACTGGGTTATTTAAAAAATTCTCAGTAGTAGCACGGAGTCTGGAATTGTGCCCGGTATATGGCAATAGGCTCACCCCCTATAACATGGGACTCATAACATAAATAGTGAAAAGTGGGTGTTACTTCTGTGTGTATCTCTGCCTACCCCTTCGGGGATAAAAGGCGTGATGTTATGTAAAATAAAATCAAACAACTTGAATTCAAACTTTATTTATCGCAATACAATTTCAGTAAAACTCAAAAAGCAAGTCATTGTGAACTGGTTAAAATTTTAAATCATGCGTTGGAGGTAATCCAAGAGGTGTAGCGGGAGACACGAGTATGAACGCTGGGAAAGTTGGCTTGAGCGATACCAACACTGAAGGTAAAGATACCAACAACTACACCATTGTGGTAGAGTGGACCACCAGAGTCCAGGTCACAATGTCCATGACCATTAGTATGCCAGCCAGAACATAACATGTTATCAGTGATAGCAATGCTGGGAGCCGCATAGTTGTTTCTGCATGTGTTCTGGTTTATAATCACTTGCTGAACCTCATGTATATAGTCTCGTACGCGTCTGTCGTTCACAGCAGCCTGAAACAAAATATCGCATTTTACTACTTTGCTTCGCTTCTTATGTGTTTATTTCGAGCACTACGTCATATCTTTATCATTTTTTTTAATGGGACAAGCCCGCCACAACCTCTCAAAACCGCTACAACTTGTGTAAGCCAGTAGATACAACCATGAAAACACCGGAACACTGAAGTCCGGCGCGTCCCAGGGACATGAATAACCGCAACGAAGTGAATCAGAAGATATTATAAGGGGAGAAGAAAAAAAAACGATAGTGCGGTCAGTGACTATTTAGAAAATTTTTGCATTTGCTAATTGTTATTTAAAGCAAGCCTATCCTGGATATTATACAGGTAATTTTAGTTTAATTCTAATACCAGAGATCGTGGTTCAGCGCAGACATAGGGTTGGCCCCATCCAACAGCCCAGACGGTTTGGTTATCTGCTACATTATAATTAGGACCTGCTATGGAAGCAGGGCTGGCTCTACTGCTGAAGATGAAGGTCGTATCGGAGTGCAGGATAGCGATGTTATGGTCTAAGGTTCTAGAGCTGTACGAAGGATGAACGATGATACGGTTGACCAAGTGGACTTCTCGGTGACCGACAGTAGGATTCGGATATGAAGACGCTATAAAGATGCGCCACTGGTTAGCGTTGTCACCACTGAAAAAGTCATACAGTATTAATTTCATGGCGTATAGATTGGGTTTTACTTTTAACTGAGTCTTTTACAACCTACTTACTGTACACAATGAGCAGCAGTGAGAACAGCTCGGTTGTTGAGAATGACGCCAGCACAAGCTGCCCAGAACGAATTTATAGATGGATTCCCCCTCAGGAGGGAAGCGGCTGAAGGATATTTTTCAATGTTGGTTATTGTCCCAGTTACTCTCAGTGAACCGGAGGGATGGCCTGACAACGAAAACATCAATAGTTTTATATTATATAATTTTTAAGAATTACATAATATTGGGCCAAAATTTAAAACTAGTAGAAACTTGCAAAATATATAATCTTCTTCTTCTATTCTTATATTAAATTCAATTCAACTAAAGAGGTCAATTATCTACATAAAATACATTTCCAAAATAACTATCAGAAGGTGATTAGGAATCGGTACTGATGTCAAAAATGCAATCAGTAAAATTTTGTCTGTCCGTATAACCGTTACAGAAAGAAAAACCACTCGACGGATTTTAACGAAACTTGGTCAATTATTTTTCATACTCCTAAACTGGTTATGGTTTACTTTCATCACACTACAATCAATAGGATTGTAGAATATTCCCATGTACAAGGAAATTTACTCCATCACGCAAAAACTATCGGTCCAACTACGATGAAACTTACTGGCGTTCTTTAATATCCTGGACGAACCATTTACGACTTTTACTCCCGTACTTTTTCTCCCGAAATTGTGTATACACTAAAAAACAAACTTAATTGTGTTGCTCGATCTCTAGACACAGTTATTGAACCAAACGCAAATATAAGTTTGTCGAATGTTAGGGTAATTGTAGGGCCGATAGTCCAAATTGTGTTGAACCGCTATTAAGTACATGAAAAAAATTGAGAATTTTTTAGTTTGTGTATTTGTGTGTATTTTATCACTCAGTCACATCAAAATAGCAATAAAGACCGGAATGAAGTTTGGAACAGGGCAAGATTATGGTCTGGAGTAATGTACAGGCTACATTTAACCACTGGGAACGCGAGCGAAGCCGCTGGCAGAAGCTAGTATTAAATTATTTAAACACTGAATAATTATTACAAGTCAGACTAACTTGTTTTAAAAGTGTCTAGACGTGGTTACGCAGACATATGGTTTTGTGAATATTCCCAGACAATAGAACAAATATCAGGAGGGCACAGTAAAATAATTGTAACGCTACATAATTATTTTGCTCATGGCATACAATACATACATACATAAATCACTTCCCGCCTGTCTCCCATGGAGTTAGGCAGAGACTATTGGAACGCCAATTACTCCGATTCCTACATACCTCTTTCGCTTCATCCATCAACAGCTTATAAATGCCCACTGCTGAGCAAAGCCTCTTCTCACACGGAGAAGGTTAGAGCGTTAATCACCACGCTTGCTCAATGCGGGTTGGCGATTTCAAACTTATTATTAGAAATTATAAGTCCAGGTTTTCTCACGATGTTTTTCCTTCACCGTTTGTCAGTGGTGTCTAAATAATCTTAGAAAGTACATATAACTCGGAAAAAGTCACATTGGTACTTGCCGTTGGTAGGTTTCGAACCCGCACCCTCATGCATGAGAAGTGGGCGTCAGGCGTCAGGCGTAAACCTCCGGGCCACCACGACATTTTTATTTCATTTCGCTTCATCAACAGTCATCAATCTTTTCATGCATACTCGTCGGTTAAGGGTACATTTATACAATATAATATACAATATGCCGTAGAAATTAACAGAGAACACTTACCCAGAACAGTAGCGACACAAAGTGCCAGAAAAATCAACACGTGCATTATGATTTCAGTAATTACTCGAAGACAAGTGAGATGGAAAACGGCCGTGGAGCTATTTATACAACTGTAGAAGGAGACGACAGGAAGACCAAAATTAAAAGATTCTATCTATTTCCGCAACATATCTAGCAATTATGGACTTTGATCAAAGATTAAATAGATAATACACAGATACTTTTATCATAATACGGAGGATTCAGTTTAAATTTCTGTTGCAGTAGTAATACTGCAATGTCATTCTAGTGACATCATTTATAAGAATTGTAATAAATCAGCTGTAGAATTTTGATTTAACACATAAAATGGCTGGTTAGCACCAAACCAATGAGTTTGAGAGGTCAAAAATAAATTTTATACCAATTTTTGGAACATAGTGACTAATGCCTGCACGGTTGGTGCGGTGGCTGGGCAACCGGCTGCCGTGCACCGTGTCGCGGGTTCGATTCCCGCACGGAACAACACTTTGTGTAATCCACAAATTATTGTTTCGGGTCTGGGTGTCATTGTGTAAGTGAACTTGTATGTTTGTAAAACGCACCCACGACACAGGAGAAAATCCAAAAGTGGGGCAACGTTTTTAAAAAAAAATGCAACAGCATTGTTTTTAGTTATATTGTACAGTAATTTCATGACCATATAACATTTTTATCATAGTTTTATGAAGCTGGTTCAGCTGGTGTCATACTGAATCTTGTGCTACCTAATATTAATAAACATCGAGTTTGAGTTCTTTGCAAATGTCCATTTCTGTTGATGAACATCGAGAACCTTAAAACGAGCAATATTTGCATATACCTAATTATACAACCAAAAACATTGTGTAAAAAACTAGCCAAGTCTCGATGGAGCCGCTCGTTCATCTCTTAAAAGTAATGAAATCTAGACATAGTCATGCCAAGTCTAAGGTTCCTTACTGCGATTTCTTTATTATTATAGTTAATGTTGTGTGACTTGGCCGTTGAACCGCAAAGATGAAAAAAAGATTAAAGATGGTAAATTGCCACGAAGAAAAAGTTGATTGAATAAACTGCAGGTTTGGCGACAGATTACTGCTAGTTATACCAGTGGGCCTACTCCTGAATCCAATTCCGATCGATCGACATTGATATTGTGAAATTTCGTACTCTTGAGTTTTAACACTAGCGCCCATTGCATCCGTACTGCGTGAGTATTAAATGAACGAAATGGTATTGAGTTTGGCTTTATATTCCCTACCCTGAATGCTATTTTAACAGCTACAATAGGGGTTGTATAGTTTTGACATTGAATAATTATTGAGTTTTCATTGGATTGCAATTGCATTGACATTGAGATTGGTTTCAAGAGTAGGTAAGCACCCTGGTTTTACACTCATGTGTACTCTTCAAGTTGTTTATTACGATGTTAGTAACATAGTCCTGAGAGGATGTCGGTGATTTACCCATAACAATGTATATATTTTTGCTTTCATTATTCCGAAATAGGTGACATTCAACGAATTAGGTAAATTAGGTAATGTTCGCACATTTCCTTTGTACTCGAATTACAAAGTCGGTACATTTCCTTACAGAAAACACCTACATATAAAATAATGTTACTCAGATACAAACAGCGAATAATTCCTAATTTGATTTAACCTTGCTAATCTAGTATTAACATTTCACAAGAAATATCATAAAATATCTTCATTTAAATATTTGTTTGCACAAACAACTTGATCAAATATCTAAATAAATTCTTAAAGCTCAAAGGGAAAATGCTAAAACGGACAAACTGAATGTATTTATGTATTTCTATGTAAATATGTTGTTATCATTACCTATATTTTATCGGTAAATTATTCTATTTCAATTTATATTCTTATTATGGAATCTTCGACTTTGATTTTAATAGTGAATTGATTCTTTGATCAATTTTTATTACTCACGTTTCTTTTTATCCTACTTTTAGGATCTGAGTTACAAAATTTGATTAGGTTGTGTTATTTTAGTATTATAACTGTGATTCGTTACACATATAAAAAATGTTGATATTAAATATATTATTTTAGTTTTATAAAAAAAAGAAAATAAAAATTCCTTACAGTTTGCTCATATTTCTATTCGACGAAGTTTCTCGACTAGTTTCAAGTCACGATAGGGTTCCATAATCATAAGTAGAGTGCTCGACACACAACACGGCCAGAGTTATGCAACTGAGAAATGTGAATAAATTATTTAATTATAGTTTATTTTATTTTCAATACAACGTAACCTTAACTTTCTTGCATTTATTGAGAATTATATTATGTATAGATAGACACTTTACCAACCTGCACAATATTCTCCTAAATAAATAAAATATTTCATTGAGATCGCTATTAAACGTCAAATTAAGGTTACACTTAAAAACAAACCCCGAATAAAAGAAAACCTAAATTCATTATATTTTATGCACATACATAAATCATTGAAAATAAAACCTAAACGCATATGCTCATAAAATTCAATTTAATTTACAGCACATTTTACATTGCACTTTTTAAAACTGAGGTACAATTAGGTAAAGTACTAGCGCTCTCACTTGTTTTACTGAAATCTACTAAAACGGGCAACTCGTCCCTAAATGGATCACGGTTTAGGACTAGCGCACACTGGTGACAATCCATTGATTAATCCCAATCGGTTTACAATGTGCTCTGGGTTTTACTCGTTAGTGTTTTCACAGTTTTCATCGAGAGATTTTTGCGTACCTACCAGGCAATAAAAATATAAAGGAATTTTTTGTAGATAATATGTAAATAGATTGTGTTTAGCAGAAGATTTATATTTAAGATAAAATAGTCTGCTTACCAACTGCTACAAAAGGAAACATGTCTGTGGATTGTGAATTACAACTTACGAGGATGACCGAATAGTGTCGAGTCCAACCGGGGCTTATAATCACGAGTTGCACGGGACGTTTGACTGAGTAATTAACTGTAGAAATTACTACGTCTCACGATACTCGTAATATAAAAACGGATAAAACATTCAATCACATTTAAACAACAATTCTGTGAATAATCAGAACTTAACAGCACATAAAAGCGACCAGGAAGCCATTATGATTCCACATACATCATCGTACACCGGCGGATACCAGCCTGCAGATTACTGAAACCAGGTCACTCATCATTGGAAATGAAACGCATAATAAATACAATTTAATAAAACATTTATTTCACGCAAAAAATAATTATTGGTTAAATATGATTGATCTTCTTCGAATACTTGTGTGCGCAAGTATTACTGAGTGACGGATCTCGAGTTTAATTTTTTCTAACACAAAGTAATATTAAGTTTTGGAAAATGTCTCAGTCAGACTTAAGGCATGTGACCATTGTACATAGCATGTGGATTAATTTGGTTATAAACAATTTCCTTTAAATTCAAAAACTGCTAAGAAATTCTATGCAGTTTTTACCTATCAATAAACCCTTGAGGAAGGTTTAAACTAAAGTTAGTGGGAAAGCCTTACGCAATAAAAATCCTCCAGTAAATCACAACAACTTATATTTTAAACCTTCTTGTTTGTGTAGAAACAGCAGATTCCATTTTCTTCATACCGTCTTTTCCGATATCTATGGACAACATATATAGTAATAGCATTTCAAGTCCCCTACATCCGTATGTTTGGTGTGATACACAGAACAGCTCAATTTGAATGGCCCCTCCATTCGACGACCATTTCAATCCGGATGTGGCCAATGTGCACTAATCCTAAGTGGATCACGGTTTACAGGGTTGCTCGCTGAAAAATAAATTGCAGCATAGATGAATGAGAGCAGCGGGAATTGCATGATAAATATTTGAAGCGGACGCCATTGTGGCTGGCAACCCCGGGCCTGTATTTGTGTCTTGCTGGAGAATTGCTACTCCAGGGGATAACTATTTTGAGTAAAATATACCTGCGGTCCGCCAAGAAGTGGGTTAGCCAATATTATGGATGGACAAATATGTTTTATTGTAGCGCTCTGGTTCCGAGATTTACTGTAATCTTACTTTAGGTTCATCTTTGGTGTAGGTTCATGAATATCTGTTTTGTTGACTAATTTGAGCGTTTGTGAAGAAAGGTCATTATTGATTTCTGTGTCTGGCAAAATTAGTATAGTATTTATGTTTGTGATCGTTCGACGACGACATGGGACGACTGGTATCTCATATTATAGCTGGCGAATAGCGAGTGTTTAATATAACTATACGATTCCATCTCACAACAACTGCTAACAATTTAACTTGGTCATAAATACATCAAATTATTAATCAATTACAAAATAACTCTTAATCCACTAAATAAACCACTTAATCGCACCACTTAATTAGATAAGTACAAACATAATACAGGTGAAGGAAACCGACGTAATCTACTCTAGAGAGGGCCTTGGAGTAATCCTTAGGAATTTAATTCAAATTAGCACGGACAGTACCACTCTTCAGAAATGTCTTATCTTAAGGCAGACGACACCCTCTGAAAATTGGTCCTCTGAGGTACAAAGTACTTGTTCTACCCGTGATTAATGAGAGGCTTCAATGTACTTTTTGTACTTTTTGGAGGCATTTTAGTTCTTCTTCAATGGTTTTAGATTGAGTTAAAAATTCATGGGCTTTTAGAATAGTAAAAGTAGATAAAAATAATCTTATAACGATAATGAAACCCCTATAAAACGTAAAACCCGACACTGGGAATTGAACCTTACTCGGTGATAAAAATCCTACTACAGTTTGTCTCAACTATTTCAAAATATGGAAACTTTACTATCATCAACGACTCGTGATCGTCCATCGCTGGAGTAAACGTAGTTGATCTGTTCGGATCATTACATCACATCAAAAACCTAAAGGACTATGGGCTTTTTTTAGGGAGGGAAATCATCGAATGAGTTCTCCCGCCTGGGTGAAGCGGGGGGTAGTAAGGGGTAATCCTATTGGGTGGTGGTCTGATGGCTTTTTGAGGCGCGTGTGGAACGCGACGCGTCGTATGCTCGGATCTGGTTCTGGTCGGGCGGTGAGCTATCCATACCCAGC